TTAGTACTTAAAAGTGTATTTTTATGAAGGTTTTATATCATCATTTTACACTTGAAGTATCAATAACTTCTTAACTAGAGTATGTTTTATAATATCATGTCTAATATTATAAGATACATTTAATTTATGCTAAACTTTTATCTTAAATGCAGGCAAAGAGAGGGCTAAGCTCATAAAAAAGATGTTAATACAGTCCAAACTAGAACACTATTCAGTCATTAGAACTTATCTGGAGTTGTAGAACTTAGATTTGGGTCTACTCTATATAGATAGAAAGCTAAGACATAGGCCTAAAACTTTTATAGGAGTTCAAGATTCAAAAAGGTCATTTTCATGTTCAAATGGTAGCAATAATAATCTGTCTTACAGCCTAGACATTGTTTAGTGTTCATCCCATATCTCGAGTTATAGAAGTCTAAATAACCTCAATTTTTTTTGGAAAGGTGAGATAATTTCCCAAAGCTTTCATAATAAAGTTTATTCAAATTCTAATGTTAGCAATGGTGTTTTATTCATAAAAAAATATAAGGATTATAATCAAGTCAAGATGTGGTTATCTACTTAACAATTAGTCAACAAATCAATTAAAAAATATAAGGATTGTAACCAAGTCAAAATGTGGTCACCTACTTAACAATTAGTCAACAAATCAATAGTTTCAAATTTTGGCCTATAAAAGGAATCATTTGTCATGCATTTAAAAATCTTGGTTTTCAGATCAAAAACATATTCATGCTCTCTTTCTTTATATTTTTATAATACTTAAATTTTATTTTTATTAATCTCTTGTATATGCCTTACATTTCATTGACTTAATTAACTTATATCTTATTTATGTTCTTATCTTATTTATTTATGTTTCTCTTCTTCATTATGTTTAGCTAAGTTTATTATGTCAAGGTAAAAAGGTTACACTAATAGTATAAGAATAAGTATAGTATAAACTCAATATAGACTTTAATATTTGATACTAACATATTTTATATTTGTTATCTTATTTACTATTAATTATTTGCTTATCAAATGGTTAATCTAGATTTATATTGTATAACCCTTGGCATAACAAATACTTGGTATAACAAATACTTGGCACTTTCATAGTCCATCCGTATAGTATAACCGACACCTATGCTATGAAAGAAACTTAATTTGTTGTTAACATAAGTTATAATCATGAATAACTGACATAATTTACAAGTATTAGTATTATTTGAATAAGATAACTAATATAATCATGTTAATAATTTATAATCCGATTGAAACCTCATTTGTGTGTGATTTTCAGTTAAGTAATAAAAATAATTTATCCTATACTTGTTTGAAATATCATTAGTGCATCCTCTAATCTTGACATTTATTTTTATCATTATTTAATTCTCATATTAATCTTACATCTTAAAGTCCTCTTTAACTTATTATTATTATTATTATTATATAATTAACCTCACAATGGTTTGACTCTGATTTTTTTAGATTATTTATTATTTTAATACTTCTATATTTAAAAAAAAATATGAATCTTTTAGTCATGTTAAACTAATCACTCTATATCATCTTAATTATATCAATTCTGATTCAAAAATTAAAACTTTCATAGGATAGAAAACAAAAAAACAGGGGGAAAAAAAAATGTGGTAACCGCAATTTTATTTTATTGTTAATTGTCGTACGAGTTAAGGAACTCCTCACATGCTAAAAAAATCTGGAATATTTGAAGTTCTAAAATAAACAATTAACAGGTAAGCAAGCAAGGGATTGGCCAAAATTAGTTGACACCCTAATATCCCTTAAAACCCGCATTAAGATATGCGACTATTTTCCAGAATCACGCTGATATTATATGTATAAATTGTTTTTCAAGTTTTGTTCTTTAAAAATTTATTATTTTACCCATCAAGCAAATAAAAGAAAAATTATACGACTTAAAAAAAAGATATAAATTGATAAGAGGATATTAAAATCTTGGATTACAGCGGTGTGCCTATACATTGCCTCTCTGTCTTGGTGCCTCTTGTATTGTGAGTTGCCCTTCTAGGGGCATCAAGGAATCGTATCTTCATCTATTCTGTGGAGTGTCCCTTCGTTGTAACAGCTTCGGAGGTGATGCTCCACAAGAACACAAGGATTCATCATCTCCTCTCCTCTTTTATCCTTCCATTGGTAAGTTCTTTTTTATCCAATTTTATGATATCCCTTTTCATCTTTTGTGTATCACATGTTATGTCATTGCATACATGAATACATTCTTGTGATGATCATATGTATAAAATAAATGCTCGATTGTTTTTGGTTGATCTTGTTATACATGATCAGTCTTTGGTTTTCAATGCTGGGTGCCCTTTTCTGTTCATTTTTTAATCTTATTTATCATTGCCTGTGTCGTCCGGATTATTTGTATCATCTTTTTGCTTGATTTGTTTCAGCGTCTTCTTAATCATGTTCGTTCTATTTGTGGGTTTTACAAGTTGTGCTGCATCGGTGTGAATTAGGAGTATGTACTCTTTTTTTATGGTATTGGTGATTTCCCCCGTTTATACTATTTTATCTTTAGTTTCTGATTTTGTTTTTATAGTACATTCAAGAAGATTAAACCCTAGAAAGCTTATAATTGCTTTACGGATAATGCAACACATCGTGAATAATTTAGTTAATAAACTCTACGCAGCACACAAGAATTTTGATGTTTAACAGCATTGCATTCGCATACTGTAACCCCGATTGATTATTAGTTTTTTAATTGTTAAAAATACTCGAAGATAATATATTTTCCAAGAATATACAGAAAATTGATCTGTTTAACCTCCCAGAAAAAGAAAAGCTAGCTAGCAAATAGTCGAAGAAATGTCCAGGCTATGTTTTCTGGCTTTTAGTCATCCAACTTTGCATGCCAGATCTTTTTCTCTTCATTCTTCACTGTCAAGCTTTATGGACCATGTTAGACTTCCCTTTCTTTTGTTTTTATCGAATATATATTCTCATACTAAAAAGAAATTGGGATTCAGTTGTTTTAGTCTTGGATAATCCTCAAATATTTTCGTTTCTTCAAAAGGAGAGAGGTGGGCCGCTTGAATGATCCATCTGATGCTCAGTCATCTATTCATTTGATACCCAGTGGACCTCATTGACGGTTCATGTTAAGGCTCTGTCTTGTGGAGCCTATGGATATATGGAGAACATGTACATCTTAATACCTTGGCACAAAATGCCAGCCTACGCACATGGAGGCTTGGCTACCGGTTGTTTACACGGTGGTGTTTTTTTTAAGGAAAGCATGTTTGAGTCTGGCAATTTCAGTTGTCCTCCATTACAATGTAAAAGGAAAGCCTATCCCCGATTTACAGTCTAAGCATGGGAACTAAAAACACAAAGCTAGCTCTGGTAAATTTTCATGTGTACTTAACTTTAGAAACTTTCATTCGACCATATATAAATTGCATAGTTTCTTCTAGAAATTGATCATTTTCTTGCATCTGTATCTTTAAATAATCTTATTAAAGAGATTGCATTTCTATATGTTATGTTTTATCCTTAGTAACCGTAAATGTTAAACCTCTTTAATTAGTGATAAATATTACGCATGCAGTTTCCTGGTTCACAAAATCTTGTCTTAAAGGAGAACATGATTTTGATTGTGTATGGATGTTTTCTCTTCTTGCAGGCAACTTAGTAATGGTACCAGATTATGAATATCTCAAATCCACATATGTGGAACCAAATCTTGACTTCACATATATCAATTAGCTGTCTTTTTGCTGTTATCTTTCCCTCTTTTCCATACTTCTCTTATCGATATCATACCACACTCTTTTCTCTTTCTATCTCCCAGCCCATCCCACCCTTCTCTATTTTGAAAAACTGCTGGTATTTATTGACCAGCCACACTGCCAACAGTACTGTTCTCTCCATGCAGTTCTTGATTCCCAATCCAATACCGAATCCCAAAATCCTTCGTTTATTTTTAGTTTCCCCCTTTAAAATGAAGAGCCAAAACCAAGAAACAACATCGCCAACCCATAATTCACTACAATAGTCTCTTTTGGCTCCAAGACTTGAAACCGAAGAGGAGGAAAAGTTTATTAGTAGTTGTGATAGCTTAAGTTCAAGCAATAGCATGGCTTACAACGTTTCATCACCATCATCTTCAACTCTCAATGGTGAGTATATCGGTATAGAGAGTTGTCTTGATCTCAAGAACAATGAAGATATTTTCGCATCATCATCAAAGAAAGAAGAGACTAATTACGGGAGTTGTAATCGTGAAAAGAGAGATCAACGGTGGGCTAAGAAAAAGGAGTTCCCCCCACCAATACCATTGTTAGCTCGTACGGAAAATTTGCCTTCTCATATGCCTTGGGTTTTAAAGAGGTACTACACAAGTGATGGAAGGTTGATACTTAGAGAAGAGAAGGTCAGGCATCATGAGTACTTTCGGGCTCACAGATGCAATGGACGCCTCACCTTGCATCTTGTTCCTTTAGATGATGAAGTTTCGGCCCTTCCTTTTGTTTTTAATCATGAGAGACGCCATGGCATTGAGAATGATCTGGAGTGCAATGATATTGAAGAAGATGAGCAAGTACTCGAGCAAGAACACGAAGAAGAGCAGGAAGAAAATGAAAGCCTGGTGGAAGAAAGTACAGATGTGGAAGTAAATGGCAATGATGGTGAAAATGATTATTGTGTTAAGAATGTTGATAGTGATGACACACTAGAGGAGAAGGAGGAAGTTGTGCATGATGATAAAAGAGTTCCTTCTGTGGATACTTCCGGTAGTGCAGGCAAATGCTTGAACTACAGCAGTGTGAGAACAAGCTCCACTTGTATATTCGGGGTGCCTGTACCAGCAGTAAGGCCAGTTCATAGTTAGACATAAAAAGAAAAAAGAAAAAAGAATTGAATTCCATTTTGAGTTTTGATGGGTCTTTTTTTATTGATAGATTAAGTTGTTACCTCTAATGTCTTTTACGGAGAATGAGATGGATGATGTATTCTTATTCTTATCAATTTTCAGGTTCATAAGAGAAGAGGTTTTTCATTTTGAAGTTGAGTTTTGTATTCCAGAGGTACTGAGTTTCATGATTCATTAATTATATGCCGCCTTATGTGGTGTGCTAGTATCTTACTCGGTACGTGGGGCAAAACCTCGTAATTAAGACAGATTGAATTTTATTGCCAAAGTGACTATTCTTACAACAGAGCAATTTGATAGTTTTGAAGAATATGTAGCTTCTGAGAATCTTCTATAATCGGTGTTAATAGACGTTGATAATCTTTAAAGATCTGCCTTCGTGAAATACTGAAATTCTTGCGCCAATTAACTCTTTCAAGTGACTGGGAAGGGTTCAAAACTAGGTGAAGCCTCCTCCACTTCAACTTAATCCTAAGGAAGATAGACGATTAATGTTCCTACCTTCTGTAAATTAATGAGATTAAAATAAATTGCTGTCAGGATTTTTAATCGTTTCATTTGCTAATCGGGAAGACCTTGATAACAAATGAAACAATAACACAGAAATGGCTATACAAGTACGAAGTCTTGTGGGGGTGTGTGCTGGCTTCCATAATGGAGTGTAGAAATGATCACGCCCCTCAAAAAATTCAGAGAGGAATCGATTGAGTTGTGGTGGTGGTGCTACAGTGATGAAATGCAGTCTGGCAGTGGCTGCATCAAGTACAAGGGACCGATTTCCGAGGTACACAATATTCTATTCATTTGTTTTTTATGTAAGACAGGTTGGAATTTGATTTTCTTTTTTTCTCAAGAGGAATGGAGATAGATGCTAGTATTAATTGAGTCAAATCTTTCAAAAACAGAAGAAACCCTAATGCCAGTTTAGTTTAGTCTGAATCTCATTGGCTGCTGCTGTTGTTGATGATGGGATGATAGGGAAGGAATTCGATTTTGAAATCATCATGTAGTACAGCTATCAATCTCCTGTCATTCTTGTCAGTCCTCATGATTGGCTTCCTTTGACGCTTGCACAGTCTCTCTCCATTCTCATTATTTTTTTGGGACTCGTATCCAACACTAATTCTGGCACAGACCGCATCCACCACTATTGCTCAACCGGGTCAACCCGTTTTCACTCCCTCCCACCATCATTTTTTAGAGTTGCCCATTACTATTGTATATTCCTAAGATCTTTGGCCAGGTGGGTTACTGGTTTTAGGCCTTCTGTATGCTTGTTTTAAAAGTTTGCTATCGGTCAAATTGGGATACACTAATGTATGTACTAGCTCCATGGTTTCTGCGCTCCGCCGCAGGCATTCTCTTTCTTTGTTGAGCTACGGTGTTCGCAGCCGTGTTCATGAAAGAAAGAGCAACAGTAGAACGCAAAATCTTTTTATGAAGTTTACAATCAAAAAGCAAGGTTGTGATATTTCATGCTAAAGGAAACATTTTAAGTCTCTTTGGTATAAACATAACCAAAAACTTAATGGAGAAGCCAATGCAATGCTATAAGTTACCCAACAAAAGTGAAAAGTCCATGAACTACTAGAGAGAAGAAATCCAAGGGAAAGGAATTGGGATTGGATGTTTGAGAAGTTGATGATGAGGTGGCAGCAGTGCAAGCCTGGAATTGCATTTCATGTTGCTCTTCCGAAGCTGGCAAGCCCGGTAGTTACTGCCCCCGCATGGAAAAGAATGCGTCAGAACCTGTCAAGGGACGGAAAGGAATTCAATGTAAATTAAGCCGGTGGTTTGAGGTTAACACATGGGAGGGAAAGCATGTTAAGGTACCGTGCATCTGGATTAAAAGAGAAGGAAAAACAGTGGCTGTAACTGACGGTTAATTGAAAAACAAATTAAAAATGACCATGAAGATAGCTGCAAGGCAATAGAGGAAGCTGGTAGTCTCATAGCACAGGTCTCAAGCTAGACAGAAAAATGGAGGTCGTGCTTTCAGTGCAAAAGGAAGCAGCATGAACTCGCACAACGTAACAAAAGTAAGTGCCAACAAATGATCCAGAAATCGAACGTGAGTTGTAAATTCATAGATAAAATTCATGAAATTAATAGATAAGAGGACAACGTGCACCACAACATCCAATACCTAAATGAAAACAAACAATGGCAGCTTAAAAGAAGCATCGAAAATGGATAGAAATCAAGCTATAAGAAACACAGAGGGTGCGATAGCATGCAAAAACTTTTTATCAATGGCTAATTTAATGGCTAAAAATTACATCATGATAAGCAGAGTATATGTATAATTCACTACTGAAAAAGAGAATGATTAGCATTGGATTTCAGCAACCAAATAATTCATATGCTAATTTAGAATCGGATTAAAAATCAACAATGAATTTTCCATTGCTAACATGGAAACACAAAATTTACAACGAAAAAATTCTGTTGCTGCTAAAAAGAAAAGATTAGAATTACACTTTTATTCAAAAAATAATTACATGTCAATAATTGATTGGTGCATGCATACCTTAAAAAAACTCACTCACGTAGGAATATACCAATCTCATAAGAGAAACCTTTTATTATTCAAAAAAAAAGAAAAACCTAACCCTGTTTTCCTTCTAAAAAAACCCCTACTTCGCACATATGTCATTTAAAAAAAGATCTAAGTCTATAAAAAATAATTACAGAATTAAAACAAATAACAAATTAAATACTCATTCTAGAGACTCATTCCAGAGGTGATATGTTATTTTTCTAGAGGTGATATGTTATTTATATCATAGTTCCAGAGGTGATATGTTATTTCACTCATTCTAGAGGTGATATGTTATTTATATCATATCAAGCTAGCATGATATATTTGTTATAATAGACTTAAAATTTTTATATTTATCTTTTCTAATATTTTTTTTTGTTGATAGAAGAAAAAATAGGTGGAAAAGAACCTTTATATGATGATGTGTTTTTAGTATTGCATCAAAGTGTTAAACACTATCACAATCTTTAAATTTACCAACAGAATTTTTCATTGGTATTTGTACTATCATTTTGTTGGTAATTAATTTACCAATGAACTCACCAACAAAAATGCTTCATCAATGAATCTTTCATCAATAATTTTTTTTCTATTGGTAAGTCTGTTGGTGAGTTTATTGGTAACAAAAAAAATATTATTACTAATGGATTTACTGATGAAAAAGTGCAAAAAAAATTATCCGCTTTATTTTGTCGATATTTCTCTAAAAAAAAAAATAGTATATGTAATTCTATTGATAATTATTTAAAAATATTTTAAAAAGATCCATTACACAAAACTATAAAATAATTAAATTAATATAAATTAACACTTTATAATACTCAAAATGCTTGGAAAAAAAGAAGAAAATCATATGGAAAAAAATCTTACAAAAATATTCATACAATTATTAAAAACAAAAACAATTAAAAACAAATATAATGAAAGAAAAAGAAAAAAAAATCTTACCTTAATGTGGTTGCAAGTGAAGCTAAAGAGAAAAAAAATTCACAAAGTATACTAATTAAAAAAAAATTGAAAGAAAAAAAGAAGAAAATAAAAGAATACATACCTGAGCATTTGAAGAAAAAAAAAAGAAAATAAAAGAATACATACCTGAGCATAGAGGAGAAAAGAAGGAGTTGAGGAGAGAATAGAAGAGAAAGAAATGGATATTGATATTTTTTACATAAAGAGAAAAAAAAGAAGAAGAAAGGAGCCCCGTCTACTGTGAAATTATGGATTATAGGCTTTTTATTAAGGTGTTTTACCGATGAATAATTAAATATTAATATTTTTAATCATTCTGTAGGTTATTACGTCTATAATATTTAATTGAAATTTTAAATTTAATAAAAAAAAATTCAAAAACCGCCCAATATCACTGATGATTTTTTAATCCATTAGTGATTCTGTCAGCAATATTTAATTTAAAATTTTAATTTAATAAAAAAAATTTCAGAAAACCGTGAAATAACACCAACGACTTTTCAATCCGTCAGTAATTTTATCTGTAAAAAACAATAATTAACAATACAATTAAGAAGTGAACATTTCTAGAGCCCTCTAGAAAATACCGATAAAATTTTCTATTGGTGATTTCCTTTGTAATTGTCATAATGAACAGTTTTCATAGTTTACTAATGAATTTGCCGATGGATTTTACTGATAGATTTATTATGTCGGTAATTTTATTGGTAAAAATAGCACGTCATTGTTTTTTTGCTTTATTTTAATTATTATTTTTTCCCACCATAATTCCATTGGTAAACACCAAGAAAATATTTTTGTCGATAAAATCCATCGGTAATTTATCAACGAAAATATTCCCTCAGTATTTTTGTTTATATTTATCAATTTTCTAGTAGGGAAACAACTTGAAACCTTTATAAATAACGAGTTTAAAAAAATTATTGTAAGTAATTTTTTATGTAATTTAATTATTATTTAAAATTCAAATGAATTTATTATTACATTTAATTATAGGAGAGTTATAAAAAGAAGATGATTTCAAGATATGGAATGATTGAGAAAACCATCTTTCATTTGATGGAGTAGCTTAGTGTATGGCTATAAAAAGAATTACATAGGGTAGAATATATAGTGCATTTGGTATGTCAAAGTCCATGGTTAGTATGAGTGCTTCATCACAATCTTACATGATGGAGTTTGAAAGGGCAAATAAAGAAAAGAGATGGTCATATTTTCTTGAAAGGGCAAATAAAGAAAAGAGATAGTCATATTTTATCACTACAATAACAGATGATTTATGTAAAAAAACTTCTTAGTAACATGGGATACCAAGCTTGGACATCAAATATGGACCAAGTTATATTAACACCTATGGCTTCATCTATATCCTCATATATGGCTCCACAAATAATACCTATGTATCCCCTGTCTATACCATTATATTGACCTAGGTCTTAACCACTATATATTGGACTCCCTTTATGATGGTTAGCATTATCTTGGTTTGGTTTCACCATCACCTTCATGATAAAACATATTTATTAAATTGTGACTTATCTATATTGATGTAAGTTTAACAAGATTTTGAAATTTTTTATGAAATTTAATTTAATTAACTTGTTATTGTTGATAAAACAATCTTTAGTATTAATTTATGTTATTTATATATTGTTCTACTAT